AGCTGCTATATAACATAGTCAATGGTAAAATTCTGCTTCCATTTGAAAATACATGTAATGCAACACGACGAGGCCGACTCGAAACAAACATGAGAAAGCCATATAATAGTTCCACAAATTAAGAAGGACTTTTTAAATGTTTTCTTTTCTTCCTCGCACCATCAACGAATGGAATAGTTTACCAATAAACATGATTAGCCAAAGAAATAGAGTGCAGGCGAGCTGGTGTAAGTTGAACATGATTGTAAACCTGAGACTGGGGCAGAAAAGAGAACACAACAGACGGTAGTCAAAGAGGAGGCAACGTCCGTTGCCTCCTCTTTTATTACCTTCTGTTGTGTTCTCTTTTCTGCCCCAGTCTCAGGTTTACAATCATGTTCATAATTAACCAATCAGCAACTCCTGCATTTGTCGCGGCTCTCACAAAACATTTGCTGCCTTAGATAATTATGTTGTCTCCTTTAAAGTGTGGTTTCAGACTGGACGGTTGCTACGTTTCCCTTGTATTTATTGCCCCATGTGCTACTGTATTGCCTTTATTTAATATCCTGTTGCTGTTGCTCTTCTTCTGTCTTGTTTTTCTTGTGTTTTGCTCCACCCTTGCCTTGGCGACCTTGTAGATAGCTGACAGTATTACCAAATAAATAACAAAAAAAAATAAACAGTCGTGAATAGTTTGATTCCGTTTCATGGGAAGCAGACGAAGCCAATACAGTAAAACCCGTCCTATACGCTCCGTTTCACCCCATAGAGCTTTCCATCGCTTATCACTCGGGCGAAAAATGACGAGTCACGGAGCTGTGGAAGCATTGTCAGCGTCTTATCTACCGCACAGCGGAGTAACAGCGCATGCTCAGTAGGCTTTCCACAGCCTAACAGACAAAAATGGCGACGTGCAGAAGGCGATTTTTGCAAAGGTCTATAAGGCAGCCGGCAACGGCCAGGCGGCGCCAGCAGGGTGAGAGCGCACGGTTATACCCTGCCTCGTAGTAACTTGGCAGACGGCGAACGATAAGCCCCACATTGCGAGCCAAAGGCTTCGAAATGCGCGACGCAACGCGCACACATTGGAGCATGACGCAGCGAAAAGCCTGATACTTCTTCGGAGTTGAGGCGCGCTCCGGTGATACGCAGTCACGTTCCGATTGGCCCGCCGGGGCCGTAGCTTCCGCTCTGCTGGCACGTTACGCGACCACGGCTTTCTGGGATACCCAGTATTTCTTGCTTCAGACACTAGACTCAGCGGCGCCACCAGAGTAAGAGCTCACGTTTGAACAATGCAGCCGCCACTCCCAGGGGTACCCAATATTTCTTGCTTCAGTCGCTAGAAGGCGCAAACCACACAGCATTGCAGGTTGCCGTAGTCAGAGCGCAGTCAACGCTATAGGATCGAAAGAGCCGATAAAGAAACGACAAATGAGCAACGTCATGGGCGATTTGTCGCAGTTATACGCATGCGCCATCATTGGCTTAACAAATCAAGGGCCGCGAACGCGCCGTTACATCTCGCGCTTTTAGAATGTCCATTCATATCTGTATGTCCATAATACTTCGTTTCATCCGGTCTAATCTTGGGTCAAAGAGACATTACGAGCCAACGTTGCTACGAGCGGACGGGGCCGATCAAACGAGCGTCGAAACTGCAACGTCACGGCATCTGTCATCTTCTGCGTTCTGCTATAACCGGCTAAACTATAGACCTTTGCATCGCTTATCCCCTGGGAGAAAAATGCCGAGTCACGTAGCTGTGGACGCGTGCACAGCGCCCAATATACCGCACAGCAGATCAACAGCGCATGCTCAGAAGGCGTTCTACAGCCAAGCAGACAAACATGGCAGAGCGCAGAAGGCGATTTTTGCAAAGGTCTATAATCGAGCATAATGAACGCACGCACCGCGATCTTGCGCTTTTAGCACGTGTGCCTGCGTTTGTATATGCCCTCTCCGGTCCGATCACGTTGATTCATACAAAAACTGCCCGCAAGCATGCTCCAAGTTTACATGAGGAAAGCATGCTGCGAACATGATTGAGAATGCTCGCAAAGATGCGGAGAAACTCCGCGTCTCTTGCACGACGTATGGCCCCCGTCGGCTCAAGGCAAGGAGTCGATCAATAATCCATCGTCCGTCGCGCATCGCGCGGTCGATCACGCACGCCGCGAGGTACACGAACAGTTTCCGAACGTCAATAGGCGGGAGGCTATTTTTAGCGGCCGCCCTCTGTCTGAGGGACGGGCTTGTTTACAAACACGTTGGGGGTTCCGACCGTGATGGCAAGCGTCTTATCCGCCGAGCAAAGCGCTCCCATGGCGGACCCTATGCGGAGCACGTGTACCCTGTTGTTGTGCCCGGACACCCGTGGTTTCTTCGTTGGTTCGTTCGTTGCACCGGACTCTTGATGACGTCATGCAATCCTTTGCGTGACGTCATAAAGACGTTCCGAACCGAGACGGTTATTGTACATACGACGTCGTAGGATACTTCTAGTGACGCGTCCTGAATCAAAGCGGTTATTTCCTGCGTAGCTATAGATGTATTTTCTCTTTCTCGTTCCGGTCTATTTTATTTTAGACTCATCCGTTCGGGGGACATTTCGACCTCTTTGAACATTTCTTCTTCTGAGACGCGTGTCACGCGCCTTGTCTGTTGGACGACTTAAACTCTATATATGGACATTTTGACCGCGTGCGTATTGTTTTAATCATTTTCCTAGGGGAAAAAAAAAAGGTTGGGGGGGGGGGGGGGGCATTTCGAGCCCAATAACCACTTAAATACCACCGTTTGTGGGTAGACAAGAATCTCTCGTAGTCCTTTTAACGGGCGGAAGCCAGTTGGTGAACATTCAACAAAAGTCTGCTCGCCAAATATCCTCTGTTCCTCACTCTTAGGAAGGTTGCAATCACGACTTGGCCGACTCGACAAGGTATACTTTGTTTTGTCCTACACGCTGCGGCGATGAGCATAACTATACACTCTGTTTTACTTTTAACCATAGGGTACATCGCGCAACGTGAGTATACCATCTCAAAACTGCTCTCGCGCAGTAAATGTGCGGTGCAAGCGGCCTCAAAAGCCAAGAATTCACGCTTCGAGACTTTTTTCGCGTGTGGCACATGAACATTGTGCCCTACTTGCCGGTTTGCGCCCGCCAGCGGCGAGCGCGACAGATTCGCTTCATATAGCCCGCGACCTCATAGCAGTGGATAATCAAAGCCATCGGTGATCCAGGCAACGGGCTGCGGGCAAAAATTGAAAAACCAAAAAACGTCCACGAAAAAACAAAACAAAAAAAAAACAAAAAAAAAAACTCGGCAAGTTGGCAGCATTCTATTTCAAAGTTCGTCCAACTACGTCACGTCTCCATTCATCATTATTGTTCTCACAGGAAGCAGCTGGGTTTGCGCTACGCACGTAATGGCACTGAAGTTCTATCGGTCCCGGGCTATTGTTAGTGCATCCAGCGGTGCAAGGCCGAGAATTTCACGTCCGACGACTCATTGAAACGCTTAGCGAATAACAACAAGGACAATGGCCCGAACGCAGCGTGACGATCACGAAAACACAACTGGCGAACCGTCTCGCCTCATTGGTTATCCCCAAGACTTGACGTCACTTCCGGAGGAGTGGCAAAGTCAAGTCGAGTAGGGTTCACCGAGGAGATGAGCAAACTTTTCTACGAAACTGATGTGTTGTGTCACCGTGTTTGAGTTAGAGTGCCGTGCACGATGTAAAAAGCGGAAGGTATATCTGAACGGCGCCGCTTCGCTATGGAGTAAGTATAGCGAAGGTTCGCAAGCATTTCTGACAAACGCCGTGAGATGGCGCAAAACATCTGGGGCAGTAGAAAGCCGATGAGAGCCACTCGAAGAACCGCCCTCACTCGGGTTAGGGGCCACGCCTGCGTGGAGGCCCCTAACCCGACAGCGCCCCCTGTCGTGAGATGCGCGAAGTACGAGGAACAAATTTTTCCGCCTTGGCTGGCCTTGTGCAGACACCTCTCCTTTCTTCCACCGTGGTGCCGTGAGTGGGGTGAGCTGTGACATCACCCTTTCCCGTGATAGCGCGGCTGTTACCGAAATAGGTAGCAGCCGCGCGTGTGATTCTCGTTCCTTGGCCATTTCCACGCCTCGAGCTTCGACATGTTATATCTCTGGAAGACAATTAGCCACGGCGTTCGCAGATAGTTGAATGCTCCTCCCAAGAACATGGCTTTAACATATATTTTACAGAAATATCAAAAATATGACCTGGACTATCATTGCACGATCTGACGTAGAAACACCCAGCAGTCAACCGAGCCCTTCAAAGCCCATCGCGTGGTACGTGACTTGTGAGTTTGTTCCCATGACATGTGTTATAGCACAGCTTCCTATATACTGACAAAGTTTGGCAGATGGCCACGAGAAGCGGCCGCCGAAATGGAAAAGATGGAGTGGCAGACAACGGATGAGAGGAGAGCCACGTGACTGGCGCCCCGCTGCGGCGAGACGCCGAAACACACTTCTCCCGAGCGAACAAGTGTGTTTCGGGTCCTCGCCGCTGCAAAAGCTGTGCGCTGACGTCCAGAGACCCGCAGCCCGCCCTCCTCTGAGCGGGCTGCTGGTCTCTGGTAAATGTGTCTTCTGCAATATAAACAGACAGTGGGCGAAGAGTAAACAGGTTGGGTCTTTACTACTGACAAAGACTGTACATATATGTTTCTTAACAACTGAGGTTCAAAAGCTTATCTGACCACCGCCGGTTGAAAAAACGGACCCCAGTTTGGAAAAGAACAAAAGCCGTCTTATAGCAGCTTGGAGACTGGGCGATGAATATTATCTTAATGCTTGCTCGATGAGCAGGCATCAAAATGGCAGCACCCAGGGGGGCTTCACTCGGAAATTTGTCTGTAAATTGAGTCGTTAATCAAACTAATAAAAAGAAAGCCTTTCCAAAACAAACAGCAACATTCAGAAAAAAAAAAAAAAAAAAAAAAAAAAAGATACATCGGGTTAACTTACCAGGGACACGACCTGAGGGTTGGAGATGATGATGACGTTCGGAGGGTCTCCGACAGGTGTCGCTGCGCCCCCTATGTTGGAGAAGATCACTAACCAGATGAGGATGTGTTTGGGGTCAAGGTCCATGACTTCGCAGAGTCTGCGAATAGCGAACAAGGAAAAACAAGGTTACGACTCGCTTCCTCGTTAAAAAAAAATCTAAAAAAGAAACAAACAAAGAAAACAACGAGGAAGCGAGCACTGCGACGCAGCACTCGTGTGGCCGTCTTCGGTCATGGAGATGCACAACAATAAACGGTTATAGGGAACATTAAATAACATATATTGCGAGAAAAAAAAAAGACTGCTAGTGATAATGTGAGCACATTGCTATCTACAGAGGATAAAAACAAAACAAAAAAAAAACAATACAGTACATCGCAAATATTCACACTCAAACGATTTAATTGAGCAGTTTATTCGACTGTACTCCAAATAATAACAAACGGATGGATTATCCACCTTTCTTTGCACCCCCTTCCCGCCCCCCCCCCCCCCCCCCCCCCCCTTTAACCTGTGCCATTGGTCAGAAACTGTACGCAGACGATATATACATGTACGAAGCGAACTTGCTTTCGAAAATGCTTGAGACGTGTCCACAGATATTTCCGCCATCATGTCTGTAGAGAAACTTCGCGTCTCTTTGTATGACGTAGGATTAGTGTGACTAAAGCTTAACAACCCCTTAACCCCCGTCTCTAAGTAACACGGGGCTAAGTACAATCCCCCCCCCCCCCTTTCCCCGGGAATTTCCTACACAAAGTAAGCGGAGTATCCCCCCCCCCCCCCCCCCCCAGGGCCCCTCCCAAACTATTTATTACACCCCCCACACATTATTAACAATCTTCGATATAAAATCCCTGTTGATAACTACAGCAATAGACAACTTGTTCGGGCAGAGCGCTTCACTCAGTGATTGTTCGGCAAGAAAAAAAGAAAAAGAACAAAAGCGTTTGAAAACGTTACTTGTGTACCGGTACGAAGAAATTGCTTTAGTGCGCTATACGCGTCCTCTGGGAGCGCGACGCTGAGGATTGCAGCTTCAGTTAATATCAGGCTCAATCTTCGTCAGGTTTTTTGCTACAGCGCGCAATTATTTTAATCTTGGCATTTATTTTTTCTTCTCATTTTTGTAAATGATCAAGTCGCGCACATCGTTTCTTGTAAAGGACTCCGTCCTTTCTGTGTCCAGAAGAGACCTAACCATGTGTAAGGTCTTTCTGAAACGATCCATTTGTTGCTTCCTGTGGGGCTACTATCGCGGACAATAGGAGCTGAAACAGTCCTTCGTGTTTCTTCGGCGTACCTGCCATATTCTGAGAGTTGTGGTCACAACTAAGAATTTAATGCGAAGTTAAGCTTCCATACGTCTAGAACTCCTTGACAGATGGAGAGCTAATGGAGCTTGTGGTGGCCGCACTCGAAAGGAAAGGCCAGATCGGGTGCTTCGGCCCTATTTGTCCGCGGGGGTGCCCTACGCAACCCGCGCACTCTAACGTTGAACGCACGTAAGAATTATATGACGTCAATCAAACATCTCTATTTGCACGCCTGAGATGCCCACTGACGAACTGCATCTCCTGATATGTCTCTGCACATATGTAAGCCGCGTGGCCATTTCAGCGAAGGGCATTAGCAAAACTAACTCTTAAGCGAGGAAAAGTATATGAATGTGCTTTAATATTGAACGCATACAAAACTTATATGAGGTTAATCGAACATCTCAATTTGCACGTCTAAGATACCCCCTGAGGAATAGCATTTATTGATATGCCTTTACGGATACGTAATCCACGTGACTATTTTAGCGCAGGGCATTACCAAAACTAACCTTTACGTGAAAAGAAAATATGAATGTGCAATCAACATCCGAGAACATGTGAGGTCGTGTACGAACTTATAAACACCTTATAAACGTTTTGTTCAATAGGTTGAATACTTAAGTGTCTACTTCACTAAGTTCCACGCCTCCTATGTAGTCACCCATAAAAATAGAAAATATATGTAAACTTAAACATTTAATGAGACGAACATGTGCCTGCCAAGCTAACAAAAAAAAAAAGTACCAACATAGATAAAAAAAAAAAAAAAAAATCCAGGCCAAGCGGAGGTTGAACCCCACTTCGCGCAAAGCCGCGTGCGTAGCCAAGTGCGCGCCCCGAAAGCGACAGATCGTAGCAAAACTTTACATATTTTTGTTCGTTTGTAATACCGCAAAAATACAGACATATCAAGATTAGCAATCCTACCGAGGAGGTTTCCCCTTTGTTCTGCCGGAGTGAGCTTTTACGACATTTATTTCGCATCATCAAACTTCTTGCAACCCTGGGAAACAAGTTTTAATTATGATGGTGGTAATGTTTGTATATGTGTACGTATGTATGCATGCAAGTTGACTGGGTCTGTTTGTTTCTATGTATGCGTGAAATGATCTACTGGCAACACTGAACAAGTGACGTTAGATGTTAGTTCTACTGCCCAAATACAAACATCTCACGTCACTTGTTCAGTGTTGACAGTATATCCTTACAGCTAAAAAAACCCGATGAGGACCAAATTTCAAATTCAATAACTGCGAGAAAAAAAAATATTTGACCTATTTTTTGAGTTACTATAGTTCAGCCGTATCTATGGATGCGTTGAACCGATCTGGAGGCAAATAAGCAAGCATCGAAATCTCGCCGAGAGCTTCTCTTTAAAGATACGGGACAACAATTCTGATAATCCGTCTTTTTTCCCGGACGCTCATTCACTCATTCATTTGAGAGGCTTCGTTTTGAAAGAGCGAGTTATCAAATTGATGGACCTTTTCCGAGAAGCGTTCTGCGCACGCGCGAGCGCCCGATGCCAAGCGGTGGAAGTCGGAACGAAAAATCGAGGAAATTCGGAAGGAGGCTGTATATCAGCGAGTAGAACGCGTAACTGCAGCATATATATAATTGTGTTACACAAAAAAAGAACGTCGACGGAAAGGAAAACACGGCGTTTGGGTGGACGCCACGAATGCCCCTCTTTAAAGTCGCGTTGGGCAGGCGCCGCTGCTCAGAGAGCGAAGAAACTGGTAGCGTAGCTCCCATTATCGATTGGTAGCGCAGGTAGGTCACTTCCTCGATTTTTAGTTCGTGCACCCACCGCCTGGTGCCGTCGGTATGTGGAAAAGGTTCATTGGTAGCTCGCTCTGTGAAAATGAAGCCTCTAAAATGAACGAGTGAATAAATGAATGAATTGATTGGATCAGGATGGCTCTCTGCTCTGTAAGGGAAGAGGAAAGGGTGGGGGATCAGCATTTTCTACCCTCAGGTTCTGCTGACGAGTTGGGCCTCTTTGGCAAAGGCTTATAACGCGAGCAGTGTTTCTTTAGTATTGTTCCTGGGGTATATCCAGCCTTAAAGAGTTTGGACTCCCGGTGGTTGGTGGTTGTTGCGAATGGCTTCCAGAGCCGGACAAGACCAAGGTAAAGTAGGTGGGAATTATCGCCGGGGGCTGCTTGAAGTAGGGCTTGGTGTCGCTCGTCCGAAGGCCTCAGGGGGGACATGATATCTGTCCTCCCTGATCTCTAACTCTCAACTTTCGACTAGAGTGAAAAATGGGGTGTTCCTCGCGATCGTCACCGACCTGACTTAGTACGACACCCATCCCGCTGTCGCTAGCGTCGCACAGCACCCCAAACTCTTTGTAGTAATCCGGTACACGCAGCACTGCTCGAGAAATCAACTTTTTTAAGGCCCTGAAAAGCGTCTTCTTTCGTCGTTTCCCAAAGTACGTTAATCGGCTCTCATTTACGAAGCGCGTCAGTTAAAGTGCTTGCCACTTGGTAATGGTTCGGTATGTTACCTTGGTATAGTATCCGACTAGTCCAAGAAATGATCGATTGTCCATTTTTGTTCGGGGCTAAGGAAAGTCCGTGATCGGAGCGATTCTAAGTTCCGATGGTCGCCTCGTTTCCTACCCAACAACATGACCCAGGTAGCAGAAATGGGAGCAACGAAAGTTACGTTTTTCGGCCTTCATAGCTAGCCCTGCGCCACGCAATCTGGAGAACACGTTCCTTAAATGTTCGATATGTTTCTCCCATGTATCAGAAGAAAATGCCAACACCATCCAGATAAGGGAGTGCAAAATCGCCCGTGCCTTTTAGAACTATATCCATCAACCTTGAGAAACTGAAGGGCGCATTCTTGAGCCCAAAGCTGAGGACGAGAGGTCGGAATGTCCTCACTGGAGAAATGTGTGCAGCGTACCGGCTCGCCCTTTCCCAAATAGGAACCTGCCACTATCTGCCTACTAGATCGAGGGTCGAAATGTACAGCGCAACGCTTACTCTTTCTATCCTTTCTTCGACGTTCGGAACAGGATATAGCTGGTCCTTCGTGATCCACAAGAATCAAAGGCAACGTGGAGCTCAATCACTCTAAGCTATAGCATCCGCTTTATCTCAGCTTCCATTATTTCTTTTTGCCGAGGTGAAACTCTGTAAGCTTTTGATTTCACCGGTTCGGCAGACGTGCGCTCGATCTCGTGCGTATTGAGATCTGTCCCCCCTGATGGGTCACTAAATGTCTCGCGACACTCATTAAACAGCTCCTTCAGATCATCCACCTGTGCAGGCTCAAGAAGCTCAGCGTTCACTGAAAGCGTCATGATTTTCTCCACGCTGCATTCAGAGTTTTGACTGATTTCCTTCCACTCTAGAATTCCCGTAGGTAACTCCTCGGGCACGTTTAACGTCATGTTGACGACTTCGCTTCTTTCAACGAAGGTTTTCATAAGGTTGCAGTGATAAAATTTTTATCTGCTTCTTTCTCCCGGGAATTTTCAGAGTTTGTTTCAGAAAGCTTGTCGATGACCTCTATAGTCCCTTCCCAATGAACTTCTAGTTTTTGCTGTCGCGCAGGGCGTAGGACCATTACTTGGTCACTCACGCTAAAAGTACGAAGTCACGCGTACCTGTCATAGTAAACTTTGCCGTTTTCTTGTGCCGTTCTTATGTTCTGAGCTACTAGCTCACATGTAACACTTAAGCGATTCAGCAACTGCAACACATAGGCCACGACCACTTGGTTCTCTCCCGTAGCTTCCCACATTTCTCTCAATATTCTA